ATGGAAAAACATTTTGTTTTTAATCCGTCTCTTTGTCCATTTTTAATGACATTTTAGCATAAATTTAGTAGGAACCTTATTCTTTTCTGTAGTCTCTTCGATTTTCTTTCTAATGACTGCAAGATGCCTTCACAGCTGTTTCCCCCCTGCAGAATATAACAGGTTATGTTTCTTAAAAGCAACTCAGATGATAGTTACCTTAGTTGAAGATGAGCCCCTTCACTGCTACCCCAATGATAGTGTTTGGCCAAATCTGAAACCAGACAAGACCTCAGAGATACTCTGACTCTCCCTTTGATGGAGGCGATTCAAGGGGACGTTTTCTTCTTGAAATTGAACCCCTGAAGCTTCCCATGGATATCAAATAAGTGACTGCTGGGGGCACTTGTTCAAATATTAAGAAAAAAAAAGTCTCAGAAACACAAAGATAAATGGGAGTATACTGAGATTATACTAACACTTTACTACAGTGGTATTTTAAAATTTAAATAAATTATAAATTATAGAAATCGAAGCATAGTAAAACATTTTTTTTTAATTGAGAGATTTTTTAAATTATTATCATACAAAAAAGTAAATCTGTTTGCTCAGCTGTTTAAATCCTAAACTTAATTTCATTACACTGTAAATCTTGATAACTTGAACTCAAGTGATTTGTGAAAACCGAATCTCTTAAACCATTTTAGTTTATTGACTTAAACTGTTAAGTAAAAAATTAAGTGCATTTAATATTATTGCTAAGTTATCATGTTCTATTTTATTCTGTAAAATGAACTTAAGACCAGTAAGTTTCCTACCTTCACGTTTGTTTTTATTTATATGTCATTTATACATCAACTGTACTCATTAGTTCTGAGCCTCTTTCACATAAGTAGAAATTTAATGTTTCTTTTTTCTGGAGAATATAATTAATTAAGCTCTAACATGAATATATTTTGATTTACAACTTATAGCTGCTTGGATTGATATGAAACAAGCCAGTATGTAACAACATTGGACAGTCCTCATCTAATCTTACAGCGCTTTCACTGGTGTTGCAGCATTAGCCACACCCACTGTCAGCTAATCAGCCAATCAGATATTTTTAAATCTGCACAAGTACTTTCTCATTTAAGTTAAGCAAGTTCAGGCTTTGTAAAGTTGTGTATATTTATTCATTTATGGTGTATTTTCTAACTTTTTATTGAATCTTCATTTTTTTCCCTTACTGTTAATGTTTGGCAACCTTTGCCATTCATTTCCTGAAACATCGCTGGATGCTTGGAATCACAATAACCATTGGAAAGACTCTGCAATTAACTGAACAACCTGAATCATTTTATCTGGACTCTCCAGGATTGTTTACAGATTATTCCAGCCTCACTGGCTCTATGCAAATGTCCTGGCGTTCCGGCTTAGAGGAATGGGTGGGAAGGGTCCCGGCTAGGGGAAAAGTCATTGTTTCACACTCTATGCATTACTGATGTCATTGAGTAGCATGCAAAAGCAGCTACTCAATTGCCACTGGTGCAGCTTCAGAACAAGGTTTAAACATGTGTCTGTTAATGAAGGCACCTGCAGGAAGCAAAAGAAATGACAGTTTCTCTCGTGTGATCACGTTTTTTTTGTTTTGTTTGTTTTTGCTTATCTCTGCAGGTTACACCATGATTGGAGGGTGTTTTTGAGAGGAATGAGTGCAGATGTTTGTTATTGCTCATCAGATGGTCCAGCATTTTCCTCACTCATCCCATATAGTGTGACTGAGCTGGATGCACAGCCCTGATGGTTGATATTTGCTTGAGTGACATGGAAAAGTTTCATTCAAAAATGTAACATTTATAATGTATATTTGGTAATGAGTGAATGCTGTCTCTATACGTCTTCCCTCCTATCTTCTGCTCACTCAATAGAAAAGGTTTCCTCTTTACCTGAAAGCTTTAGTTTTAACTTGCATATTTAATAACTGTCCTCGTGTCTCTCTTTTGGTTTGTTGTTATTTTTTCCCGTTTTTGTTTGTCCCCCACCATCTTTTTTTTCCCTCCCAACACTTATTCTTTACAGAGGTTTGAAGGATTTCGGAATGAGAAGACCATGCCTGCAAGCCTCGAACCATCATGCAGTGGTTCAACAGAGGCAGGATCCATTACTACAAGCAACCTCAGGTTGGTTTCGTATTACATTTTGAAGGCCTGGATCAGATGAAAAAAGAAAGTTGCGTGAAAAATTACTAGTTTTATCAGACTGTGCCAAATTAGGATGTTTTATGCAGAGGGCATTTGCAGAGCAATCTGTTTGCAATCTGTAATCTGTTTGTATAATGGCCTCATCCTTGCTGAGTGGCCTTTCAGTCCAATATGGTACAGGTATTTTCTCAAGGTGGATAATGAGACTTTCTTACCACTTTCAGGAATCATCCTCTCAAGGTTTTTGGTCCTTAATGTTGGGGTGATATGCACATTTCCACCAAAACACACAAATCTCTGTAGCACACATCCTGTCTCCTTTCTAAACTGCATTTTCTTGGTGTTATTACGTGGATGTAACTGTCTGAACAGCTAAGCATGTCACCTTCACGTCTCTGGAAATTGTGCCTAAACATAAATCAGCAAAGACAAGGCTGATTTCATTTGTTTGTTTGTTTTTGTTGTTGTTTTTTATGTCACTCTTAAGTTATTTCCTTAAACAACACCAACAGGTGTATGCATCTTTTTAACACAAAGGTTGTGAATTAAATGGTCAGGATTTGAATAAATAATAAAGGAATAATAAAGAATTTATCTCTAACCCTAAAACAAGAAAATCTGTAGTTTGTCTTTTTCTAAAGCGTCTGCAAATATTTGGTTTCTATTATATGGCTTTATAATAACTGGCTAAACCATCATAGAAAGTCCAAGAACTAAATTTCTATCATAGCTTTATACCTTTGTTTACACAGGCAATCACGTATAGATCATAGTTCTTATTTTAAAGAACAGATTTTTTTTTTTTATAACACAAACAGAGCACTAAAAGTGTTGCATTAGAAGATTCCTCTTTTTGTCACAAAATGAATGCAAATTGTCCTGCAGGAATCGGTATGGATGTTAACGAGGACAGAGCATGAAAATGTTTATTTATCCAAGTTGTGATCGTAGTGACACCAACACTAAAGGACAGGAAATCCTGAGAGCAAACTTTGTATCTGGGGAGCTAAGTTACAGGTAGGAGGATAGGTAAGACAGTAGCACACAGACGACAGCTTTATAGATGGAAAAGTAGCAATATGGGTCTATTTATTGGTAATAAGGGCAAGTTCACCAAGGAATAGATATTACTGTGATAATAGCTGTTTTGAACCTCAGTGATGCATGATGGACAGCATCCACCACATGCAGAGAGGCGGCATGTACATTTATACGCACAGCATCGCAGTCATCTGAGAGTGGCCGGAAGCTCATTAAAACAGGATGAATCATTGCACAGAAAAACAAAACCAATAAAACCTCTAATTTATCTTCAACTTTACATTTTCATGTAAAGTTGAAGGAGCCCGTATGGTATCTTTTTGCCAAAGTTCTTATACATTTTAACATACTCTTGGTGTACCTGTCTGTTTCTGTGAAAGGAAGAACTTGTGTAATGTAACTGTACATTTCCCTTTAAAATAAGCAGCCTAGTTCTGCATGAACCGGGCCAGTCAGTAAACGGGCAAAGGCATCTTCGGATTTGCATCTAATGCCCCGTGCAGCCGTATCCATGCAAACACGTCGCAGCCAAACGGGGAACTGTCAGATCTTTTGCATGGAGCATAAATGTCAGCTCACTATCACTTTCTGCTCAACATACCTGATGTTTATACTTTTCCCTCTCTCTGCCCCCTTTCAGGATACTTGCCCGACCGTTAACCCACCCCTCATCTGCTTTCTCTCACACAAGCCCCACTATTTCTCCTGCAGTCCCTATCACTTCCGCTCCTCCATACTACATTTCAGCCTTTAAATAAAAGCTTTCTGCAATTCACAGTTGTTGATCTCGACTTTTTTTTTTTGTGTGTGTGTTCTACCCCTGGCTAATATGGCCTCCTCTTTTTTTCCCCTTTATTCTATTCATCATTTCCACTCACTCTCAGTGTTAAAATCTTTTCTCTTTTTTTTTCTTTTTCTCTCCAGCACGAGCGCTAAGATACGTGCAATTGAGGCCAAGCTCCAGATGATGGAGGAGAATCCAGATGATAGCTTCTCAGGGCCGTCAGCCTATGTTTACAACAAACCGCCTGAGAGGAAGCGATGGGAGCCCTACTCTAAATCGCACCACAGTAACCAGAGCCGGCCCTTCCGCAAGTTTAGGAGATGACCCATTCTCCTCCCTGCTCTGAAGCCCCCTCTCCCCCATCTCCTCCATGTTTTGCTCTCAATCCACCATCTCTACACAGACTCTTAAATCTGAGAACAGAATATTTTGCAGCTGAAGCAGATGAACAATAGCAGGACTGTATTGATGAGAAAAGTTTGTTTTTACTGCTGTGCCAGCGATCTGACTGGCTCTTCTATTGAGCTCCTCTGTTACATTTTTAATGCAGTTCAACTCTTCTCAAAATTTTTGTTTTTTTTTAAACAAGTTTTCTTGTGTTTGCATTATTATTTAATTAATAAAATGTTTTTAATTTGTGTTGGTGTTCCTTTTTTTTTGAACCACTATCTGTCACTCATTCAGATAGATTGAAATAATAAACCACAAGCTGCTCGCTGGTTTTAATTTCTGTTACCTCTGGAGGACCTTATCTGCTTTATTCACCTCCCTTTTTGAGACCCCAAGAGTCTTCATAACTTAAACTCCTGAAGAAAAGGACAGCCCAGATGTGTTGGAATGCCTTTTTTAGGTTAGGAGATGGGATACATTTCCACAATGAATCCCAACTTGTTGGATTTATGGGCTTAACTAGTAGGATCAAATGTTAAGTAAAAAAAAAATGCTCTGACCATGTATGCTGCTGGATCTTAAACATCTGTTTATTTACATATTTAAGGAACAAATGGCACAAAAAAGCTAAATGTTACACTTTTGTTTAAATAAGGATATTGAAGACATGCTGGATACAGTTTTGAACAAACTGGTTATCTAAGCTGCCATATTGTCATTGGCTACAATCACTGAGGAGGTTATGACTGAGATGGAGTTAAAGTCAGTTTGAAAGAAAACTGGAGAGTTTATTTAAGCAGGTTCCCAACAGATTAGTTTACAGCTGAGGTTTGGCAGGTAGGTAGAAACGATGCAGCTGATGTTTCAACCAGGTTCAAATGCATTCTCCTGTAAATATGAACATTTGTGACTCCTTGTTTTATGTCAACTAAAAAACTTAAGAATGATCTGAAAGTTTTTTGGGGTTTTTTTTTTTCTGGATGCTTCATTTGGCGTTCAGTTCTAATTTGGGTTCTAATCCTTTCTTTGCCTCATGGTTTACATGTTTTTTTTTTTATTAATTTCTTTAAATTTTTTTGTTAATTTGAGCTGGGAAAAAAATCTAAATTGAAATTGTATAAACCAAGCAAGACGAAATCATACTTTTGATGTATTTGTTTCTGCTAAAAAATAAAGAAATAAAAAAGAGTAAAATGGTCCACCAATAGAAGGAATGTCTAAACTTCACCAGTAATTTGGCATTAATCCTTCAGGAACGGATTGCAGTGCTGCGCAATCAAGGAGATACTTGATGAATTCATGTGTGATATTCTCAGCTGCAAAGCTTCTGATTGGTTGATTAAAATCCCCCAAAAGTCGCTTTTGCTGGAGATTTTTTTTTCAGTCATTTTCCTCATCGTCCATCCGTTCATCTTTAATATATATATATATATATTTTTTTTCTTTAGATAATTTCTAAGATTTGCATGAAATCTTAATTCAAAGACATTTCAAGAGATTATTTTCTCTCTCTCTTTATTTTTATTCTTAGCTGTTAATTTTCTAAAAGGTCAGTCCTATAGGAAACAGAAAAAAAGTCCATGACCTAAACTCACAATTACAGGATGACAGGAGTTATTTTAAGATTTAAATATATTATATTTTTCAAGATTTAATGAGGATTCAGTTTTCAGAATTTATGTGATTTATACAAATATATATCTATGGTTAAAATATTGAGAGAAAACTATCATTAATTACTGGAATATAAATAGTCTCATAGAAGCCAATATAATAAAGTTGTATAAGCAGTCTACAGTAGCATCTTAAACCAGATATTTTTTTCTTCCTTAAAAGAAATCCACGCTGCAGCTGCATAAGTGGAGTTTGTGTCACAGCTGTTACAAACTGTGTCCACCCTTCTGCAACTCTTTCCTCTCCCTCCCCCTCCTTTAACTAAAAGGCAGGCCTGCAGAGCCGCGCAAACTTTCCCTGCAGCTCTGCGGAGACACTTTGGTTCTGTTCTCTTTGAGCTCTGGTTGCCTCCAGAAAGCCAGCCGTCCTCCTCTGAAGATTCGGAGTAAAAGGAGCTGCCAACCCCTCTTGGACCACTTCCTGTATACACGCTTCTCAAAGGTGGGGAGAGAGAGAGAAGGAGGGAGAAGAAGTCTAAAATCGGACACGGGGATCATCGCATCTGCAAAGCTTCTGCTTGGTTGCGCTCTCGACGCCCTGCAGGATCCTACGAAACATAAAAAAACAACATATTGCATAAAAAGAAAAAATCAAAACAGTGCGCCATATAGTCCACGGATGGTGCACACCTTCAAGCCGAGCGCTGATTCCTCTCTTGGTTTTAGGCGCAGAATTTGGAGACTCTAAGCGCAAAGACTGCAGGGGGGTTCATGTACTGGAAAAATGAAGTTTTGCCCCCTCTCTCAGAGGGAAAAAAGATTCTGTCTGAAGGAATTCCAACAAAGCAGGTACTACCACTCTGGGAGACTTTTAGAAGTTGTGCGTAAAGATATCGGAGAGGTTTAGACAATGCGTAAAACGCTGATGTAATATGAGTTTATTTCAGAATCATCACTGCATGGCCCGGTCCAGACTGAGGCTTGTTTTTGTTTCTTTTTTTTTTTCTTCTTTTTTGTCAATCTGTGATGTCATAGGAATCACGGCTTGTGCACTGAGATCAGCCGCACGCGCCAGCCGCCGTGAGGAGACACGCGCCCTCTGTGTTATGAATAGCGTGATTTGCGGTCCGCGAGCTTCTCTCTCTCTCTCTCTCTCTCTCTCTCTGTTTCTCTCTCTCCTTCTGTGTCGAGCGCAGCCAATTCGCCCTGAAGAGAATTAGATTTTAATTACAGCCATTAAAAATCAAATTTGCAATTCTTTGGGTGACCCGTTGCCTTCTGCTGATTGACAGTTGAAATTGACACTCCGGGTCCCTCTTATCCGCAGCTATTTGTAATTACAGGTAGTTGTCCCCCCCCCTCCTCCACTCTTGCTGTCCTGGATTGCGCAGAAAATACTATTATTCTCAGAGGCATGGGTTAAGGGCATGGGGAAAAATCAATCCAAATTGAAATAGCTTCATTAAAATGTGCCTTTTGTTGCGGGGGCCCCCCCAGTTAGCTGATTTAAGCGCGGTTTTATTGTCGGGACTGCGTTAAAAAGAGGGCTCTGCAAATGCCTCCCGTGAATTTTGAGGATGTGAGGATGAAGAGCAGCAGCTTACTGAAGGTTTTCTTGTAGGTGATCTGCACCGAGCATCAGAGCACACCGGGGACCCCGCGCAGCGCTGTGGACTCCGAACACACGCCGATGGTGAGCGTCTTTTTTTTTTTAATGGTTTTTAAAAACGCAAGATGGCGAGATCTGCAGAGGTAACTTGTCTTTATGTTTTCAGTCTCATTCGGACGGGGAGTCCCAGCGCTCCAACATGGAGCGGGAGGACATCCGCTCTCCTCCCAGCACTCCTTCCACTCCCTCCGTGTGCTCACCGACCTCCACCGCCAGCTCAGTGCCTTCCACCGGGAAGAACGTGTGCGCGAGCTGCGGCCTGGAAATCCTGGACAGATACTTGCTAAAGGTGAGCCACCAATATACTTTATTTTTTTAATTATTCTTTTTGAATAATTATTATAAAATTTTTTATTTCACACTTTTTAAATTTTTTTTTTATTAATATTATTATTTATTTTAGGAAGAAATAAAATAAAATAAAAACTAACAATGCTAATCTGGCAAGAAGATTGCTTCTGTCTGTACAAACAGAAGCAAAGTGTTTACTGTGGTCTTACTGTGTTTGCTCTGGCGTGTTGGACTGAAAAGAAAAGTCTCAACATCTTAATGCGCCCTTTGTGCACAAAGATGACTCTTTAAAAGCGGAAATGCGGAAAGAATCAAAATCTTAAAGCATTCATAAAAACAACCTTAAACTGTTTATCGTTGTTATTTGAACGGATCGTGAAAGATAAAAGATGCGGTTGATGATATCTCCTCTGTGAAACTGATTTTGGTGATTCATTCATTATCATCGGACTGACAGATAGGGTTGGAAACATAAGAAATAAATATTATAGATTGAACATTTTGTGACAGGTAATGCTAAGAAATATCTTTTAAAAACATTTTTAATAATCATCAAGCCAAAAACCAATAAAAAAAAAATATTAATTTAATTTTGTGTCGTTGGGTAGGCCTATATATATTTTTTTATTCGGTCAACTTATTATTCTCTGGACAAATTTTACACTAATATTGAGGGGAAAAGTCTTTTAATCTAAATACAGAACAATTTTTTTTTTCTTTAAAAATCTAGTAGCATTTTTAAATCTAACTTTAAATCTAGAAATTATAATTAAAATTTGCGTTTTTTAAGTTGAATTTTCTTTATGTGAGGATTTCTTCATCAATTTAAAAAGTTTTATATTTTTAGGGATATAGGAAACTCATAGTTGACAGCCTAAAACAGTAGGCCTATGCATTTATTTAAATCATTCCTGTAAAAGTAATGGACAAAACAAAAGAAGGAAAAAGAAAAAAAAAGATCAAATTTATATTTAACATTTTTTTTTATCGTATCATTAGTATTGGTATTATTATTATAGGTTACAATTAGATTAACACATTTTTAATTATTCCATTTCTGAAATTTAAAAGAATTCTGCGAAGAAAATTTTAAAAAGTTTAGATTTTCTGAAACATATTAAAAATGACAATATTAAAAAAAGACCGAACGAAACATTTTATTTTTTAGGGGGAAATATAATTTTTGACTGTAACTGGGAAGGATATCATTAAGTGATGCCGCGTAAATCTCGTTAGATGAGTCGAGATCAGCTTTTGGGTTCATAATATTTCCGATTAGAGAAAAATCTGCAAGATATGGCAGCAGGATTTTCTAAAATTAATTCTCTAATCTTTTTTTTTCTTTGTTTGTTTCTTTTTTGGGTGGGGGGTTTTCTCGTGCAATTGACACGGCTGGTGTCTTTTTCACAGGTGAATAACCTGATTTGGCACGTGCGCTGCCTGGAGTGCTCCGTCTGCAGGACATCTCTTCGTCAGCACAGCAGCTGCTACATCAAGAACAAGGAGATATTCTGCAAAATGGATTATTTCAGGTAGGGGTAAGTTTATGGTCACGTTTTCAAAACACCAAGTCTCTCTGTCATAGTTAAGCGCTAGTGCACAGTCAGCCAAGTGTGCGCACACGCACCCTGCATCCTTCCTACATGTTTCCTTGTAGATAGATGCGGGCTGCTTCATGTAATTTTGAAAGGCTCTTTGAAAAGCTGAAAGTGTGTATCAAAATAAAAGCCTCTGCTCATAGTGAAAAGCTGAAAGATCCGAGCTGTTGTTATGGCTATAGGACACACACAATTTCTAAGAGCCACATAAAGGGGCTTTCTGTCTGGGTAAACTCCCCCAACATTAAATATCATATTGGGGCATTTAGTTATGATAGTTAAATCTTAATATTTAGTTATAGGACATTTGAACTTTTTAAACACACGTTTATTATCTTGGATTTGGATACATTTTTGAATAGGCATATATTAAAATTTCTTGATTTTATTTGATGTGTTATTTTCCGGCTCATGTCATCCTAGAATTGTTGATGCATGTTCGCTGCAAAGGAGATTTTCCCTAATGATTCATTCCATGTCACACACTGAGTAATCGCAATTTGGCTGCAGTTAACATGGTTAGTCTGGAGCCCAAAATACACGTGAATTAAATTTCTTTATAAAGCACACATTTACCAAAAATCTCAAAGCACTTATTAAGCCCCAAAGTGTTTTTTTTCCCAATTAAACCAACATTCATCTGACAAGAAGACTTAAATATGGAATGCAGGGATGTAAAGATTAGGGTGATGGTGAAGAGGCCTCAAACACTTGAGGCTCAGGGTCACCATAGATAAAATCGCAAACAATGGAGAACAGCTGAACGTCTAACTTTGAAATATATATATATATATATATATATATATATATATATATATATATATATATATATATTACTATCTGCAATTTGCAGTGCTTATTTCTTAGATTTATTGCATTTGTCAATATTTAAAAAAACGTAATCTTAGAGGTAATTTAAAAACTATTGTACTCTATATTTTCATGTGTGAGCTGTGTGTGTGTGTCTTGGGGGGTTAATTGGGGTTCACACCATTAGCAGCATAGTATGATTATGTTTAGGTGCTGGGTTGGGGTGTGCAGACATACACTCCTATTTATGCCTCACACAGCAGTTTGAAGGTGTGTGTGTTAAACAGAGTAGAAACTTGGGTGTTTGTCTGATCAGAACCTGACACCAGGCCAGACCAGTGCTCTGAGGTTTATAATCACCCGCAATTAGCTGTCCTCCAACCCCAGACCCACAGGCCTCCAGACCAGCAATTAGACCGCCCCAAAAGTCTGGTCCAGCATGTTCATGACATGAATGTGATTCTTATCCAAACTGAAACTCCGATGCAAAGAGACACAAGGCCGCACACTAGTACATGGACACATATTATTTGAAATGTATATGTAAATAATATGTTTTCATGTGGAGACCTCTGTTCCTTTTTGAGCTGTCAGTCATTTTTTTGATTTAGTGAAATACTGACTAACTGGACTGTATTGTGCTTCATTTGCCATTATATTTCACCAAGTCCATTTTAAGGTTCCTTTCTTGACCTTTAGAATTAAAGACAAATAAATACTGTAGAGCATATTTTAAATTTGATCTAGATCTTCAAATAATGAATATGATCAAGATTTTAAAGGATTTGTTTTTTTGGAAAATAAAATCATATATGTGCAATGTTAAAAGAGGCAGACAGTGCGGTTATCTGACTCCATATTTATCAAATTAAAGGAACAATGAAAGTTTTAACTATGAAACAAAACAAGGTGATAATGTGGATTGTTTGATTTTGCCAAACTCCATCAAATTGCATAGTTAATCCTCTGCCTGGTTTTGTTATTATTTTCAAGAAAAAAAATCCCAAATTTTAATTTAAACACTTATCATTTTAATTGCCTGTTTCTCTAACTTGCCCTGCGAATATAAAATTGTGTAAAACCGTTGCAGTAAACAGTCTGGTTGTGCTGCAGGGCCTGCTGCGGCTCGCCCCGCGTTCTGTAAACATAACTGCAGTCTGGGCTTCACAAACTGAAGTCAGCTAAACACCGCTGGAGTCCTGATCCTCAGGGCTGCTTTCAGACCTCTGGAGATGTTTCCTCATCTGTGTCAGCCTCTCATCTGGCTTTGGACTGACAGCTCCTTTAATGGGGGGTAATAGCAGGAAATCAGAGAGGGTTTCCCTCCATGCATATGTGTATGCCTCTGTGTGTGCAGGGATGGAGCTGAAAGGCGTCTTGAGGGAGATAGAGCCCCTGCTGCGCCTCTCAAACCATTGGGGGTTTATCTCACATACACTCTTGCACATATAAAGAAATATTTCATTGTCAGCCTCCTCCCTTTCTCCGCCTTGGTCTGCAGAAACCTTGTCCATGAACGTCGGTGAGCTGCAGGCAACAGGGGAAGTTGCTCTGCTGCACTAATCAGGGGCTCCATAGGACATCCATGCTGTAACTATGAGTGTGTGTTGCACACCTAAATGCACACGGACCTTTTTATGCATGTGCACTCTTTGTTATTTTTGGAACTGTAATTATTCATCAGCTACCCACTTCTGGTTAACTGATTAGGTCTCCATAGCAGCAAAAGAAGAAAGCAGTTGGCACCAGGAAAATGGTTTACATTTAAATAAAAGCTGTCTTATTTAACCAAAGCAGAGATCGTTTTAAAGTGTAAAGCAGACATTTTAAATAGTTTTCTTTGTCTTGAAAATATTGAGAAATTTCTGAAAAATCGGCAAAGTATGTGAATAACATCCTCTTTTTTCCCCTCTTTATTTGATGCCTATGTTGTAGACCCGACACAAACTATAAAACCACACAGTCAGACATTCTCTGTTTGAACAAACCTAATTATAGCCTAGTGAATTTATCAAAGCTTTAAAAAAAAAAAACAGTAGCTTCTTGAAGTTCTCTTTCAGCAGCAGGTAGATTACTTTAAAAATAATAACAAAATAAGTTAAAAGAGAGGCTGGTAATGGAAATGAGGTTGTTGTATTAGGGTGTTTTAGAGGTGCTGGATAATGACAACGGTAAATAAACAGGTTTTTTGTTCATGAAGAACAGAGTGAAAGGTGGAAGCTGATCGAGATAGGGGAGTAGGAAGTTGAATATAAGGGATGGTTTTGGAGCTTTTCTGGGTTCTGTCTCTTTACATGAATCTGACAAGCTGTCAGTCTGGATTAGTAACAACGTTTCACAATGTTTTCCTTCTTACTGTGGAAACGGTTGGGAATTGTATGAAACAATGTGCACGGAAAGCCACAGGGTCAATTTGTTTCTGGCTCAGCTTTATTGGCTTATAAGCAAGGTCCATGCTGTGGCAAGTATTATTCCTCTGTGGCTTGTAACAGTTTAATGGATCTAATACTACTTGTTGATTTATTCTTAAAATGATAATGCCCAGAGGGGGAATAGAGCTAGATAGAAAATAAGACATAGTCAATGACTTGCTGTCTATGACACTACATGCATCAAACGTCTCGCTCTTATGCAGAAGAGGAGCTGCAACCTTGTGATGTCGGGGCTGCAGAACGCCTTCATCCCAGACAGAGTGGACTTGAGTGCACTGAAACGCTGCCAAACCCACTCACTTGGCAACAAACCCTTGTCCTTCTGCTTGCCTCTCCGACGTCCCTCAGCACTTTGACTCTTTGCCTCGGTCCTTTGCCTTCCTGTTAGATTTCTATTATCTTGCTCTTTCTTTTAAGCCTCTCTTGAATCTTCCTGAAATATGTGCTTTATTTCTGGTTTCTTTTAGTATCTAGAGAATAGCTCCCTTGCCTGTGTGAATCAGAATAAATCTGGGTGTACACATAAGAAAAAGGTAGCCGTTTATGCAGCTCTTTTTTTTTTCAGACTGCCTCCTTCACAAGAATTGCCAGCTGCTGACCTTGTCAATGGCTCTTAACCTAACCCCAGCCATCTTGAACCAGAAGCATTTAACATTTATTTAGGTCTTTAATGCCCACTTTAAAACAGTGCTTCATTCTCACTTCCATTCTTGTGCAAAGCAGAGAATTCTTATTACATTTTCAGTGTATCTCATTTATTCTGCTTGAGTTAGATTGTTTGAAATACAGATTTAAACTTTGATAACGAATAAATTCTATCAAAAAAGCAAACTAGTCAGAATACAGATAACAACATGATTTGCTAGATTTTCTAATCGCAGTTGGAAAATAAGATTGAAAACATTCTTACTTTTCAAATATAGATAATTATTTTATTTATCTCAGATGGAGAAATTTCAGTTTATCCACAGCAAATAGAAGATACAAACTGAGATTTAAAAAAAAGGCAAAAAACACAATACTACTTGGAGACTAAAGGGAGAATTTCATGTAAATTCTCCCTTTAATGCACGCCAAAAGACAGGAAATAACTACAAATCCAGCTTCAACACAACTCCAATACAGACTCAAGTACATACAGTAGATAGTATATTTGGCCTTTTTGTTTGTGTCTACATCCTGGATTGTGCTAGTGTTGGAGCTACCGATGCTGTTTACTTGGCTCAGTGCTTCTGTGTCTAACAGAGTCTCTTTCTTAATAGAAAAAGTTCTGCCATTAATGTTCTGTACTCTGCATTATCTTCCTTTTTAATGATTATTAGTCTTTCTGCCTGCTTCTTGCCCCTATAACCTTTAGGTGGTTTTGGGTGTACTAGTTATCAGCGTGAATCTACTGTAATGGAGGCTTCTTCCTGTTTAAAGGGAGTGGTTCCTTACAACTTTCACCACCTGCTTTCCCAGTTGGAGGATTTTCTGACCAAATGGACAAATCCATAGAATTAAGCGATTTTAATGACCAACTAAATAACCAATCCGATCTATATTTGTTTGCATTTTTAACTGAATTAAGAACACATTGATTTGCATTTAGTTCTGTATGAAAAAAATCTCAGTTGAGTTGTTTATCAGTTACGAATCGAGACACATTTTTGTTTAAATTATTTGCACTATCTTCTCCACTCGTAAGCATTTGCACAGCAGTCACTGGTATTTGTAACACCTGTGGGCATCGAGACGACTGAAAGACCCGGCCACCTTATTTTGATTGCAATACTGATGTGGTGATGATGAAGGTATTTGCATTGATAGTACAGCAAATTAACTTCACTTATTTACCACCTCTAAAATTTTAGCTTTTCTTTGTTTCTCAAGCTAAATTAAATAATTTTTGCAGCAGCATTTATCGATCTAGCAACTTAACTTCCACTTCCTCAACAACAGTTGTCTCCTACTCTTCATTTTATTCCTCTCTTACCCACTGTCTCCCCCATGCCTATCAACTCCCCTAAAAAAACGCCCACCCAGAGCAGTAAATAACACACTGACAGGCTCACTGTTACTATCAGTTACAGTGTTATGACCTATAATGATGTCATCGTCTTTCAACCTCCTCCAGTCTGTGCAACCCTCTATCCCTCCACCTAATTCATGATGTGTGTTTATGTGTGTGTGTGTGTCACAGCCTTCATGGATCAACCAGGAAATTGCAGGTGTTGGTTTGTTTGTATTCAGAGCTCCGCTTGCAGCTTTTTTTCCCTGAAAGCTTCATCCTCCTCCAAGGTTTCTTCTCTCAAAGGCTTTAGAAAATGCCACAGGTTTAAAAACACATAGAGAGATTTCATCTTGGTGGAAGAAAAAAACAAAACAAAACAAAAAACAACCCAAAAAGTGAACACTGCCCTAATTTTTCTCTTTGCATTTCCTTCTTTTCTCTGTCCCGTGCTGCTCTCCTCCACAGTAGGTTTGGTACTAAGTGTGCCCGCTGTGGGCGACAGATATACGCCAGCGACTGGGTGAGACGTGCAAGGGGGAACGCGTACCACTTGGCTTGCTTTGCGTGCTACTCATGTAAGAGGCAGCTGTCTACAGGAGAGGAGTTTGGCTTGGTGGAGGACAAGGTTTTGTGTCGGATTCACTACGACACCATGGTGGAGAACCTCAAGCGGGCAGCTGAGAGTGGTAAGAAGCAGAGATGTTTTCCTAGAGGTTATGTAAAGCCAACTTAGGATTTAGATCAAGGACGTATGTTATATATAACTTTAGAAAATATAAATGAGAGTAGTAATTATCAGGATGAGTTAATTCTCAAGTGTTGTGGAAGTACATGATGGCAAACTTTAATGCCACAACATAAAGTAGAGCGTAAGTTGAAAGCAGGTCAAACATACACAACCAACATACGTAATTTTCACAACTTTCTGAAGCATATTTGACTTTTTTACCCTGATTCCCCTAAATAAAATACATATCAGCCTATTTAAAAAAAAAAATCCCCTTATTTGTAAAAAGTGCACATGTAAATTATTCTGAATCATCACAAGACAAAGGTCAGGTATAAAGTTGTTGGTTACGCTCTACCCTCTACCTCTACTGGAAAGAAGAAAGATCATGTAAAGATAGCCAAAAAGTATACTGTGTGCAGTTTTTCACAAGCAAAGTAGGGAAAACATCCATTCATTGACTTTAAAATGCTGACCTGAATGGAAAACAGTGTGTGGTAGAAAACTACACACCATTTGGACCATAAAGAGCTGTGATGGTCGCATCATGCTCCGGGATCTTTTTCTTCCGTAGAGACAGGAAAGTTGGTCACAGATTATGGAAGATAGAGGCTAAATACAAGCTGATCCTGGGAGAAAAGCTGTTAGAGGCTATAACCGACCGACTGAAGCAGAGGTCCACTTTTGACTAGGACACAACATGTGTTACAATTACTATAGGCCACATTCCAGGCCCAAGAACTAAAGTTAATTGAAGCGTACCATAAATAAAAACAAATTAAACACACCACACATTATTCAGATTATCTTGCAACAAAATTTATAAAAGGTAACCTTTTCTTCCGCTCCACACTTTCTTCCAATTTTCGGATTTTGTCTGGATTATAGAATTTAATTAAAACTCCTATAAAGTTTTAGATTATAACAAGACAATGTGTATACATTCAAAAGCTTATAATAAATTGACTTTTGTGTGAGAAAACGAGGCAATTCATAAAAAAATGTGGCCAAAATCAAAGCACACAATTCAAATCCCTTGTTAAACCACTGACTGTTTTATTTAAAGTTTATTTCAAGCTCGTCTTAGGTTATAACTTATACTATCTTGTAAAAATGTTTTGTGGTTAAATGCAACTGATAAACTGACTCAGCATCTTCTGGCTGAAAAAAACAGCATGATATTTATACATGCGAGAATAACTAGTGTTCATGAAAACTTTAGCTGATTTAATGTAAATCAACAGAAGGTTTAAAATGTCATTTTAATAATAGTTACCCTGGCAAGCTATTATTTTGAAAGGGAACTTCATACTAAAACCAATAGAGAAACAAGGTCTAGTAAAATGTGAAATGTGTGTCTAAGAAAAGTGGAGTGAAGGAAGAATAAAAATGTTGATACTCAGCAGGAATTGTAATTCAGACTTTTATCTGAAATTTCACCTTTTTTTTTTTTTTTTTACAGGTAATGGTATTACATTAGAGGGCGCAGTCCCAACAGAACAAGACAGCCAACCCAAACCAGCCAAAAGGGCTCGGACGTCGTTCACTGCAGAGCAGCTACAGGTGACACGCATCATTCTATTTCTCTAATTGATTTCTAACAAAACACACATCTTTTTTTTAGTAGGTTGTGCTTGCATCTACTAATGTTGTCGCCTTATGCAGATCATGCAGGCTCAGTTTGCTCAGGACAACAATCCTGATGCCCAAACGCTACAGAAGCTGGCCGACATGACGGGGCTGAGCAGAAGAGTTATACAGGTCAGAGAGGTCTTAGATATGCAGAATCTGGTAATCATTAGCAGCATGCACAGAAATAACTCATTCTGTCTCTCAATCAGAGCAGATATATTGAATGTTGAAGGTACACTTTTTGCAGCTGTTTCTTATAACGACACTCCTTAAAGAGAGCTTTTGGTGCATGCAGCAGTGTAGCTAAAAAGTGATGTTTGTGTCTTCTCAGGTGTGGTTTCAAAACTGCAGAGCAAGACATAAAAAGCACACGCCTCAGCACAGCGGTGCTCCACAGAGTCATCCTCAGTCCAGGATACCCTCGTCGCTGCCCGATGAGCTGCATTATTCCCCCTTTGGGAGTCCTGAGCGAGCACGCATGGTGGCTCTCCACGGGTACATCGACAGTGAGTTTCCACTCGCTTAAGTTTTCAGCTCAACAATCTTTCAAGCTTTCTCAAAGGCCAAATATTAACTGTTGTGTGCGTCTTTTTTTAAATACATGTTTTACAGGTCATCCGTTTTCCGTCCTAACCTCTCAGAGCCTCCCTCACCAGACTATGTCGCTGCCCCAGCTCCCCCTCAGCCGCTAGATCTCCATGTGACCCATGACCTCTGGATCTTTACTCCGGATCTGCCGTCAGCCACGCTGTATGACCTCACTTGAAGATTGTTCAAGAGTCTCGGAGAAAACACTAATCTTCCAATTGCGAACAAAAAGAGAAAGGGACAAATCTGCCGTCTTCTTCTGTTCTGTTCAGTGGATGGGAACATTTAGCCTGTGACCAATGTGTCGAACCAATCACCTCCCAGTTTTTATTATCAGCAGGAACTCTAAGTTTGTGTTTTACACCAGCTGATGGACCCGTTCTGCTTCTCATGTACAGCATTTTCCACTCTGTTCAACCACCTTCTAACTTTGGGAATTTCAAACGGATGTAAATGATAAAAGAAGCAGGACTGCAGCTTCTTGAAGGTTGTCAGATTACTGAAGATAAAATTAAAATGTCACTGTGGCTCATTGGACAGAGCTCACACATTAGAGGTAAGACTCCTCCCTTTTTTTCTCTCAAAACGACCATGAAGGAAAACAAGATGCAAACAATAGGTTGTTTACATTTAAAGTAATTTTTGCCTTTGAGATATTTTGAAGAAAGAAAAAATACAACCCAAGTTTTCAAACATATTTAGGTTAATTTTAGTGCTTTAGGCATAACATTTTGAAACAACTAAAAAAAATCAAATGTGCCTTATTCATTTTAGTAAAAAAAAAAAGGTTTAGTCACCACCAAATAAATGAAAGATATTAGACAATTTTTAAAGATATGAAATCTTTTGAAAATTAAATCCACCATATTTTTTTTTTATGTAAACTAAAACAAAAGGCATATAATTGGATGTTTTTGTTTATTTTGGCAACACTTCTAAATCTTCCCTCTAAAGGAAAATGTCAGTTGAGCATCTAGTTAAACCATATGTGTTTAAAACCATGTTCGTATTTTCAGTAATTTATGAGATGGCTTTTTTTTTTCCACTGTTTTTTTTTTAACAAAAGGGAAATAAAACTTTGGTACAATAATGACCCTATAAAACCAACGGGTTTGTACATAGTGAGAAGTGTGCATGTGTTTCTGTGTGTGTGTGGGGGGGAGTGAGTGTGTGTGTATATCTTAGTGGCCGTTGTGTGAAAACAGAATACAACAACACCTCAAATTCCTTGTATTTATTGACATGATTAAAAAAAAAAATCTCTGTAAAAAGCACTTTTTCCCCCCTTTCTGAAACGGTTTTGTTCTGCCAAAAATATTAACAAAGGAAGAAAGTAAAAAGAAATAAAACAAAGGGTTTATTTGAGAGACTGTGCATCATAAATGTGTTGTGTAATAAAATGCAATAAAACACAATGTGATAATATGGTCTTGGTGTTTTTTTAAAGGTAATTTCTTACAATAAAAAGGCAAAGATTATTTCATTTAAAACATGATTGAGGCAGTAGAAAGGCAAAGGAGTGTTAAATTAGCATGGAGAGAATTGAAACCATCCGTTTAGAGAATAAGCAAAGCTTTAGTGTTTATCACAGCAGCTCCTTTGAGTTCCTGTGGGCTGCATGCAGGTTTGGTTCTTAAGCTGAAGGATGACGTTTTTGCCAGACGTTATTATTGGCCGTTGTTATGTTAGTTTCTATCAGTATGGGCCGGGCAAAAGCTGCATCAAAAGCAGCATTTACTAACTGTAAAACGTTTGAGGCTTAACATGTTCCTAGGAAGGCAGTTTATGTGTGAATACTTGTCATTGTAACTTAAATTTGACTAACCTTCCACGGTTTTGCTAATCTCTGAAGTTTTTATTAATTCTGTAATAATGCCTATAATCATATTATTTTAACTTCTGATCGCATTCTTAAATATTAAATGTTAAAAACTTTGCTTTAAATAGTTGTTTATTTTCCCCTTATTTTCCTTAAATAAGTTTGTTCTATAAGGTTTTAACTGCTTTGTTAAAAATAATTCTCTGTTAAGAGACAAAAACAAATTTCAGGAATGGAATCTTTACTAACTTTTCTAACATGAGCCCCCCTGAATAGATTGAGACTTAAACCCTTAATGCTGTAAGTGGAAAGAGCTACAGTCTTCTAAAGGAAAACAGCTTTATGATGATAAAGATAAGTCAAAGTAAAAAAAAAAAAAGAGTCCTTTTTTTTTGTATTTTTTACAATTTTTTATTTGCTTTTTTTATTACATTATGTTCCATCACAAATAAAGACACAGCCTTATCTTTCAGCTCAGCTTTAATACTGTATGTGAAATTCCAAAAATTCAAATTAATGCATTCTTATGAGACGATCTTGCTGTCCTCCTCATCTCTGGATGCAGAAGGTTTTTTGGAATCATTGCCAACAGGAAAATCATCCCAAGCCTTCCGACATGTGCGCACAATCCACTCATGTTCAGAGTCAACTGTTAAAAAGATTTGTTGGGGAATTCATTAATTTATGCCGGTATCAGAAACATAGGTAATAAAAGCAGCTTGTCATGCTTTGCAGAGATCCAACAATTTTTGTACTCTATCACATACGTTTTCATGATCAAATCTTTTTCGCTTTTTTGCGATTTTGTAATATTCTGGATATTTAAGTACAAAATATCAAAACTGAACCTGCTTTTTTCACAAATACTAAAATGAACCAATAGCCTACTTTTAAAAGCTCGTGGGATTTCCATGGTCTGTGATACTGCTGTTAAATCTGGACTATGATCAGTGCTAATGCAGTATTCTTGACTAAATTCAACATATTGCATTTGAGCACTTGTTTAGGCACAAACATTGAATTAATTTTTGATTTAGTTCTTTCTTTAAGCATTATAGAAAACTGGTCCAGATAACGCCAAATACTTTATCTATAGACAAAAAATAAAAATGATTAAACAACCTTTTAATTGAATGTTTGATTTTTTTTTATAAGTGCCTGTTCAGTAATTAAGAGAGTTAAAGACTAAAGATGCATGAAGAAAACGTTAGAAGTTGTGATAATAAGCCAAAAATAAGGAATGCCAATTTAAGAGAAATCATTTTAAATTCATTCCATTTTTAGCATTACTAAGACCCTTGTCCTTCAAAAAAGAAAAAGAAAAAAAAAAGAAAACCGTCAAACATTTTTCCAAAAGTTTTATTTATCAGCAATTTTTGTACTTTGTCTGTTTTGAAGGCAATCAAAAGCAACCTGAAAGCCAGAACAAAGATCTTATATTCTGCTCTAAACAGAAGGTGTTAGGCTCATTTTAAGTTAACAATCAATGGCTTGCATATTTAACTGTGCGGGTCATTTTGTGCGCTAGACTGCAGCACTGAAGTGCCATTCAAGTCTTGGATAAATTTGTCAAAGCAAGATAGGCCTGACAATTAGAGGAAAATAACTTCTTAGAGCCACTTCAGACACCAACAAATAATAACCCACTAAAAATGGAGGCCAATCTTTTTTTAAACCAAAAGGCTACCAGAGGAGCCGATAATAAACCAGTCTCTCCTTGTTAGACGGTGAAACGAGAAGCTAATTGCAGGGAAGTGAGCTTTCTCTGGAGCGCGCGCAGCTGCACGCACTTGAGCCGCTCGCGGGCCTCACCCCGAGGATCCTCGGAGCGCGCGGGGCCCCTTTTGTACCTACAGAGAAGCAAGTATGAGGCTCGCGCGCTGATTGTGTGTAATTGGCAGCAGTGGGCGTGGACGCCACCAGCCACTTCACGACTATAACAGCTCGGCTCTCCTCTCTACCTGCGCCGACCGTAAGGGCAATTGGACTGTATCGGCCACGCGACAGCTGTCACAGCAAACATTTGCGCAGTCTTTGTGACGTAGTTCGAAAATGGGACAGGTAATTATTGGAGGCAATATATTCTCCGTGTTACCATGAGACTGACCTCAATTAGCCACAGCCCACGGCTTAATGATGATTAGATTGAGACATTTTATATTTGCTGTAATTCTGCCCTCTTCAAATTGAATAGCAGCGTTTATCTGAGGATTTAAGTCACATGTAATTGGTAGCTTAAGTTAACCGAGGGCACAGGTGGCTGGTATATTTTAGGCTTTGCCATGTAGTGTATTAGAGCAGAACATTTGCAGTCCATAAATTTAGATAAAGATAGATTTGTTTTTATATCAGGTATTTAGTATCACATCTTAATATTCAGGCCTTCTACTATTTTTTCCTGTTCAAATATTATAATTCTAATGTTCTCGGTCCAAATACAAACATTGGAGATTATGCACCAACAATCAGCAAATCAAAAGAATCAGCCATTTTTTTTATAATCCAAATAATCCAAAACCAGGAATTCCCAGACAGTAAATGTTAAAGTAAAAGAAAGTAAATGTTTAACTACCTATTAGAAAAAAAGTATTTTTTTTACTTTTTTGATAGTCAGCCAAAAAAAAAAAGAAGAAGAAAAGAAAACGAACCAAAGTAGGAATAAATAAAGAAATAAAAATAAAAATCCACATTAGATAAGAATGGCAATTAGCCTTTCAGATCCTAAAAAAACCAACAAAAAAAAGAAGTGGAACATTCTGATCAATAAATGTAATAAAAATAAACTGTGCAATGAGTTGACTGCTGATTTCCCCTTAATAACATTAGATAGTCTAATTCCGTAAAATTTTAAAAAACAATCCACTGGACTTGCTTTCCAAGGTTTGAAGACGTTTCGCCTACCCTCCTGGAAGTTTCTCAATTCAAATGTCTGGATTCGCAGTGAGTTTGAGGCTTTATATAGACAAGGCCTTGTATTGCTTGGTCTAATGATAAAATCTGCAGAAACTTCTGGTTGAAAGGATGTACGAATTGAAATAAAAATGATGGAAGACACTATAAATGGGATGTAGAAGCAGGAGGAAGAAAAAACTAAATTGATAAATGGATTAATGGATCATTAAGAGATAAATAGTTAAAAGGCAAAATAAATTAAATGAAGAACAAATCCATCAATAGATAAAGTATGGATGAAGATGCTCCAGGGAGTAAAATTTAGAAATACAAATACTTTTCATACTTATTCATACACAAAATTCTGTAATTCTGGTATATTTACTTTAATAAAGGTCGACTACTTCATTTACACCCACTCTGCAGTTTTTGTGGTTGATACCAATGTGGACTGACTGCATGCATGGAGGATCCTCATTCAAGGCACACAAGAGTGAGTATGGAAGCGATAATGGCACCTTGTTAAATTCTGTTTATCTTAACCCTCAAAACACACTTGGAGGGAAAAGTGTTTCCTTCCAGCCTGATCGCTGTTATTTAACACTTGCACACGTACACAAAGGCTTAGACCTACCCTGGCTCATAAAAAAAAAAAAAAATGTTTTCCTAATTTTTGGTGATTTGCATAGGTCATCAACGGCTTCTGTGCCATGTGAAAGTGAAACCGAGACAGAAATAAGAAAGTTTTGACTGCTCTTGTTCCAGTTACCAGAGGCTCGGTGTAAGGTCATTATGTGTTATTATCCTGTATGCAGTTTGTAGACGCACTACAGTGAAATCACCCATTATGTAAATGCCAAAACAAGCATTTAAACATGCTCACATAAGTCAAATGTCTCTTGTGCACTGTCAACACACCAGCTTGAGATATTTTTTGATATCAGATTAAAACTTTAGAAATGTAATTCATCATCCAAAGATCAGAGGATTAAGCTTATTTTGTGGATTAAAGTCTAAAAGATGTTTGAAAGGGGAGAATTTCCAGAGATTTTTTTTTCTGTTCCACTCCCCAGAGCTCAGGCTGATTTTTATCTGTCTGTGAAACACCTCAACTGGACTTGGACAAAGGGACCAGGCCACAGCTCCGACGCTTGAAGTGTTTTCCTTGGCAGTGGAATGTTTTCTGTCCAGTTTGAGAACCAACCATTCATTCAAGGCACAGGAAAGTAAGACAAAATCATATGGCAGCACATGGTACATTCTAAGTAGGAAAACTAAACTGGGAGTGTGTTTGTTCAGAAAATAACTGAACAAATGCTGAAAGTTTGATTGTGCAAAGTTTGATTTCGTATTATTTTTAATTATAAACAGCATTGCACTTCAAAATTTTCTTGAATGAGCGGCAACAAATTTAAAAACTTTTCATAAAACTAGATACAACACATATTTTAGAGATGATCATATATCTAAAATTTTAAGTTTTGATTAAAAAAATAATGTATAAATGTTTCAGATCATGAGATTCTCTATGCCAGAACAGCTCTGTTTCTAATCAGATCAAAGTGAGGCTCATTGGAATAAAGCAGCTGAATATTACAAGAGAAAAGCTTTTCAATGAGAGTTAGGCAGTATTACAACTAAAGGTGAAAGTGCTAGAGGTCAAAGCTAATGGGAGTATTTTAAATTCAAGGGAGCAATATAACTTTATACAACATATTAAATAGAATTTATAAAGTATTCAATTGTCAAGAAGTTGTTAAAAGTTTTAGAACTTCTTTATAATAATTCCACAAGTAATTTGTAGGTGATTTCATTATCGGGGTAGTATTATAAAATACTATTTAGAAAGAAATAAACAGGATAACATTACAGTAAATAAAAATAATGAGTTGTGAGTGAGTTTTCAGAAGATGCTGAGGGCACCCCATGGGGCCCTTGAGGGCCCCTTGGTGACCTCAGGCACTGCGTTGCTGCCCCTGATCTAAGAGATGCACCCCAAATCCATATCACACAGTTAAACACATTGCAAGCATTACAGCCATAGGAGACAATCCATTCTGTTTTTCTCAGGGGCTGCATTCTGATTGTTCCATGCTCTAAGCTACACCTGGCGAATGGCTGTTATCCTTTATCTAATTCACAAGAAAACAATGTTTTGTCCTTGATCCATGACTAAGAACAACAATCATTCCCAACACCCTGCTACCACATTTGGAACCACAAAGTTACTTTAGTAGAATGTTGTAAAAAACACTGTTACGTTTGGAGATCCCATGCTGTTGGTTTTCATATGCTTGTGTCAGTAAATGACCAAATAAAATTATAACAAACTCTTAAAACATAAAATCTCAACAGAAAATGTGTATCTCTGCTCAATGTCTACAAAATCCACATCTGATTTAACACAGCAAAAATGAAAACAAATGACCTGGTATGCATCTGGCTTTTCCAGGCAGTTCTGCAGCAGCTATGTTCCATTTATATTCAAAAGTTCTATTATCAATCCTCTGAGTTGTGAATTTCAACTAGAATATGAAGTTGGAATTACAAGTCAGCAATTTGGAGCAACAGAACCATACAGGACTTCTGTATTCTAGAAGGCTGCAACTCACACCATCAGTACGTACATTCTTTTAATTTGACTGCTTTTAACAGTTCTTTATCATTTAAGTAACATTTGGCGGTATTAATAATATTATTTTGTTCTTATTAGAAAACCTGTTTATATGCTTAAAGCATTGCATGGAAAAGTGGTTT